AATTAGCATGAGGAGGCTTCACAAGAGGAAGTTTGCCACTGCATGGGACTTTCTAGTCTGGGCGGGTTCTGTCACTTTGGTTGTCTTATCAGGCTGTCTCATCAGGGCCTGACACCCAGAGGAAGCTGCTAACTGAAATGTTGGTGGCTTGGATTTGCTTCGGCCTAACAGTAAACTGTTAACATATTTGCTCTCTGGAGCTCTTGCCAAGACTGACCCTCAGCTGGAACTGTGTTCTGACTGGTGGGTGATTTCCGCATGGCTTACGAGGAAGGATCAAAAGTACACATGCCATGTGTTTATAACCTTCAGTGAAAGCCTAGACTTTGTCAGGACTCAGACTTCTGTCAGAAAGCAACACTGGGTCTATCGGAAGGCTACAAAAATAAAAGGGGGAACTTTGGCCTATAAACACTTAAGAGTAAGAATTAGGACAGTGGAGGCTCAGCTGAACTCTTCCCAGAGATGGACCATATAAGGTTTAATTTGGGATATGACTACATTCTAATAGACCCAGTGACTAAGTTAGCTGTAACATAAATGCATAGGTTACTAAGGGAATTTACTGGAACTATTTTAGTAATAGCCATAGTACATCTGCCAAAAATGTTTTCAATTTTTTTTTTCCCAAGGAAAAACATTGCTAGAATGTAACAGTCAGGCCACACTAACAGAATTAGTAAGGATGTTGTCTTTCTTGGTGGGTAGGGAGGTAAAGAAACAAGGATGCATTTATTCACTAAAAGCTAAAATAGATTATTCAAGGATAAGTTATAAGTAAGGGCTATGAGGGCAGAGGTGGAGCTAATATAAGCTTTGATTTCACACTCTCAAAAACAAGAATTTGCTCCTAAACAGGCCACGTCAGACCACAGTGGTTGTTGAGATTCATTAAACATTTCTTGTTCATTGTTATAAACAAAAAGCCTTAATATATTATTTCATCTAAACCATATCCCAACTTGCAGCTTATTTTACTGATTAGGAAACAGAGGCCCAATAAAGTTAGGTAACTTTCCCAAAATTATAATAAGACCCTGTGTTGTTATATTACACAGGTTCTTTGTGGTACTTCTCAAAGCTGATTTCAAAGTAATAAATACTTCTAAGAATTTTTTTCACTTGATATCTCACATGTCTTTCTAATGAGATACATGGTCCTAGAAAGGAGTAATGGTAGAATCATTAGAGATAAAATATGCACGATCCTTACAGTGCACCGCACACATCTCACAACACCACAATCTCATTCTATAGAGACTGTAACTGAAGTATTAATTTGAGTAGAGTTTTGTTAGAATTGGGGTCTAGTAATTAGAGCAGTAGTTATATAGGGCTTGAGTTCATTTTAACTTTAAGGAAAAATGGAAGGAAATCATCAAATGCCCATGATCAGAGATTTTGAAATCCAAGCTAGGGAGAGTCCTGAGATCTTCAAAACTCGTAATTACTATCACATAGTTAAAGATTCGGGAGAAATGGCTTGTCATAGTATCAATTAGAAGTGATGTAGTTAAAACTACTTTTAAAATAGGGTCAAATTTCTAAAACCACGAGTGTCACATAAAAGGGTTTGCCAGTTTGTAATTGGCACTTACCAACTTAATAAATACCATAATTAGTTGGCAGTGGTTCATTATCCTATGATAATTAGGGCAAGTCCTCCTTGGAAGCCCAGAGAGTTAACAATCTTAGATTAGAAAAGGAATATTAGGGAAACAACCTATTGCTTTGGTTGCCAATGACCCAAACATTCAGAAGATAAATCAACAATTCCATATGGTTTAAATTCAAGCATTACATAGCTTTTAAAGCTAATCAATAGGAAGATTGGTTAAATAGTATAAATCAAATATGTAACCACTTTATATACTTTAATACAATTTATTAACATACAGTGTTATTTCACTAGTATGGTTCAGTGAGAGAATATTACTACCACTAGCTAACGTTTGGGAGCTCTGGTAGCATAGCTGCTAAGGCACTTGACTGCTAACCAGAAGGCTGACGGTTCAAATCCACCAGCCACTCCTTGGAAGGAAGATGGGGCGGGCAATCTACTTCCGTAATGATACTGCCTCAGAAACCCAAGGATAGGTCACTATGAGTCGGTTCTGACTCAATGGCACATAACAACAACAAAGCTAATGTTTGGAGTTCCTGAGTGGTACAAATGGTTGACACGCTCAGCTGCCAACCAAAAGATTGAGGTCCAAGTTCACCAGAGGAATTTTGGAAGAAAGTGCTGGTGATCTGAAAAAGCAGCTAGTGAAAACACTGTGCAGCACAGTTCTGCTCTGACACATGGGGTCATCACGAGTAGGAACCAACTTGACAGCAACTGGTTTGGTTCGGTTAGCTAATGTCAATTGAGCACTTTTATCGGGCTGACAATTTTCTAAGCACTTTACAACTATCATCTAATTTTATCCTCAGAACATTATTACTATAATAATCCTCATTTTACAAATGAGGACACAATGCACAGAAAATTTAAGTATCTTCCCCAAAGTCACATAGCTTATGGGTGCTGGAGATAGGACACGAACATAGGCAGTTTTATGACACAATTTAATGATCAATTTTTAGGGTT